TCTTCTTTAACTTTACCTGCGGTTTTTCAAAATAACTTATGGGACATATACTAGGTTACCTTTCGGAGACGACCCTCTGTGGAAATTAATGAAAGTTATGTGTTAAGTCTTTAGGTTCACTTTTAGCCTTTTGATATACACATATAAATTGCATGCACGCTTCGACTTGTAGCTTCACTAACCGCGTGCGAAGGCCTTTGTTTTGACTGGTGCATGCAATGAGTAACATAGAAGCATTCTCCCTTGTCCAAGGGATTGCGGTGGAAGCAGGCGGCTTCGTCGTAGCATATTGCGGTCTAGCCCAGGCTTCGGCTATCGACTATTGATTCTCGCGTTTAACGGTCGTGTGACAAGCAGTTTTAGTTTAATATTTTTATTAATTTTTGCATATTGCAAGGAATTTTTCTACCTAAATCTTTGTCCACTTTCGTTTGATATTAAGTTGTGCTCTCGACACAGTATATTGACGCTTTCTGTGAAAAAAACAAATTTATAAATTTGGAGTTATATTCCATGTGTTTTTAAGTTATAGAGCTGGGGCACATTTCTATTTTGTGACCCGTATGTTTTTATGTTTTGTTTAAATGCTTTCGTATATTAGACCATAGTAAGATATTTTATAGTTTTTTTTAACAATATTTGTATTGTGGGTTACTTCCTGCTAAGGTAAGGGATGGTGCGGATACTTTTTCAAAATTTTTTAAGTAATTACAACATTTTCAAACAACTCACGAGAACGCATATGAGCTTACTCAAGTTAAAAACCTCTAAATATATCAAGTACAGCAGTTCTACTTATTATCGAGATCAGAGTTAGCAAGAAAATTCGTCAGTGGTATATGCAACTGTCTAAAGCTTAGACCAGAAGTATTAAGAAGCCACTAAAGAGTATTAACCCAAGCTCGCAGTACTCTCTGGGTTTTAAAGTCTTTTTCTAATATCTACTATGACCTGCCGATGTGAAGTCGTTGCGTCAGTAACAGAATTAGTGAACTGTCGTCTTAAGTTATTATATAAACGTGCTTAAGATTTAAAATGGACTTAAGAGGATAATCTAAGTCTATTACAGCTTCTTTTCCTACCAACTAATGATCATGTTAATTGCATCTTTTTTGCGGCCACCCTCTTGGAAAGGTTATTAGTTTACAAGCTTGATCTTGTTATTCCCGTTTAATAAAAAAAGAATTTAAACCCCGCAGTTTAAAATTTTTAAGTAAATATATATTTGAAAATCCTTAGTTGAGAAATGTTTTTTTATGTTTTAATCACACCGCTTCGAAAAGAATTATGGACGTAAAAAGGAGGAACATAAGTACTTTTCTACTTTAGTAAAACAAGCTAGTTAGCTACTATTTCTAGAGTCTAGTTAGTTAGTTGTGTTCTACTAAAGTAGAACTAGCATTATTATAAAAGCCTTAATTCCCATGGCAATAACTTAATTAGAATTTACGAAAGAAGAGTATTTCTAAGTGGCGTATTGAACTCTCGCAACAACTGTTATTAATTAGGGTAATTTATTTACGAGTATTTTTAATAACTACATTTTGTTTAGTCCTTTATATCCAAGTCTCAAATTGTGTGTTAAAATTAAATATTGTTACCATCTCTGATATATTTCTTATTTATATAGGTCTTGTTTTTTTAACTGAGTGTAAACTTACAAATGAAAAGTTACCGATAAAACCGAATCCTCTTCTCTATAAAAAAAATTATTTAAAACTAACTCTTTCTCAAGGATTAAAAAAACTCACAAAATATGTTTAGAGAAACTTTAGAAATTTTTTTTCTAAAGTTGCAGATGATTTAACGGGCATCCTAATAAGTAGCACATCAATTTATGATAATGACAAGGGAAAATTGCAAGGGTTATAAAAATACAGGTAAAAATATTAACTGAACTAATAAAAAAATACACTAAAAAACTTTTTTCTTGGAGCGGTTTCTTAACTACCTTTTTTTAAGTAAAAGTTGGTAAAAAAAAATAATAATAATAAGACTTTAGTTAATTTTGATTTCTTACCAATTTACTCTGGCAATCTTCATCAAAACGTCGACAATGGATATAGTTGGATTTTTTCCTTGCCTTTTTATCCCATTTATTCGCTTGGAACTATAGTATACTTGTTAAAAAAAAAAAAAGTTTAAAAAAACATAAAATGAATAAACACAAAGTAACCTAGTTATAACAAAAGAAAGGTTATTTATACCTCCTAGTAGTTTACTTTGAACTCCATTTCTTAGTACCAAAAATTCAATATTACAAATTCAATGGGCTTTAGCTACAAAGAAAACCATAAAAGAATCTTGTTTCTAAAAATGGGTTTTTCTAAAAATATGGTAAGGCCCCTAATATTTAATGGTTATAACCATCCAAGAGTGACTCTTTTTCTCCAAGTTCTTGAAATCATAAATACAATTTTCGTTCGTTCTAGGAAAAAGTCATATGGATTCTAAAATAACAGATCTGATATTTCAAAAGGTACAAGCCCAGGGGTATACGCACGTTAGGTAAGAAGGTTAACTACTGTTAAGTCCTTCATTTAATCATTTCTAAAGCGTTGTGAATTTTTTAATAAAATTAAGTAAAAAAGACAGTAGAAACAAAGAAGAGCGGCGTTAGGGGTTATTCCCGGGTTTTTATGTATATAATGGATAGAATTTGTTTTTCTTGATAAGGTCACTCTTAGGTTCAACAGACTGGTTCCGTTCCCATATAGTGATTCTATTCAACTTGGGCTTCTGCCTTCCTTCATACTCTAGCATTCTCTACCCTGGTTGTTTTTAAGTGTGGTACTTGGCGTGCGTAATGTTAAATACTTGCGACTTTTTAGTATATACCTATTCAGTCCCTTTCCTTTATTTTAAAATCTTTGTTTAAAATTCCTTAAAGCACTTATGATTTTAGTGTTTTTTTAGCACCATAATCTGGAGATAAGTAGGGGTTCAATTGATAAGCAGGGGTTCAATTAATTGGGATTCCATGTTATTTATTTGAGGAAAAGTATACTATTTCTGTTGTTTCATTGTTCTTTGGGGGTCTTTAATAGCAATTACTTTTGCAGCCATCTTTGATCATCTTGTTTTTGGTTTGCGTAAACTGATTTGTTGTGAAACATGTATCGTATTGAATATATAATATTTGTCTTATTCTTTTGTATATTACAAGGTTTCTCTGCCCGTCTCATTCTCCTCATTTTGTGTGTTGAGTTGGTGAAGTGTGTAGTATGTGCTTATATGACCGTTTATTTTAAGTTCTTGTTGCGATGTATCGTCGACTTTACTTTAGTTATCCTGATAATAATATATTCCTCAATTTCATGATCTTTCTAGTTTTAAATTAAATTTTTAATTCGTATACTGCACACTAAGTTGGCGTGGACTACATTATTTTATTAATTGTTTAAATTTGAGAGTTAGTTTTGTTTTCATAGTTATGTCCTATGAACTTGCAACTGAAAAGTTTTTAGTGTTTAATATATTTCTTTACTCCCAAAGAACAGTATTGTTTTTGAATTTAGAGGCGACTTTAAATTACTGCGTTTGTCAATGTTGCATCTAAATACTGAGTGCATTAATTAAATAAAAAAAACTTATGTGATACAGTAAAATAAGCGTTATTATCTGCTATTATTTACCCAATCCCAACTGAAGAGAGTTCAGGCTGCATAACCTTGCGAAAGTAAAATCTGCGCGTTGAGCACTCGCATTGTCTTCCGGTGCAGTCTTAAATCTAAGATGACGAGGTTAAAAAGAATGAACTTATTAGAGTTAGTAAATATCTAAGTTTCTATAGAACACAACTTGTTGTCCAAGCGAGTAAGATCCACTGAAAGCCACTCATGAAAGATCTATAGAATGAGTGATTTGACCTAAAATTTTATTTGTTTCCGGAACAATTGTAAAATCGATAAAGTAGCATAAATATTGGCTAACTGCACTTGACTATACAGAGATAGTAACATGTACTCATTTGAAGGGTCTCTGGGAGATCTGAGTATATGCGTCTCTAGAAGTTATTAGGTACGAGTACTATATATATAAGCCGACCATCCCCATAAAAACGCGCTGTGGAAGAAATTTTATTATTAATAGAATTGAAAACCCAGTATAATAATTTTTTTATGCTTTTATATTAAGCAAGTGATAATAACTATATTACGCGTAATATACCGGTTCTTCAGATAAGATCTAAAACAAACGAAGAGGCATTAATAATACTGCGGTACAAAATAGTGTAAAAACCATAACTTTACCTTCTTTTATAGAATTAAGAAATTTCTAAGAATTTGGAGTTTTACTTTCTTCAAATTCATAGCTTAAATGGAAAACACATGTTCTCAATCTTATGCTTCACTCCATGATTGGTGGTTATTTACTATTAAACTTACAATTAAAGCGCTTAAGCTCTTAGCGATAGATTGAGTCTTGTACAGTAACTTTTCATCATTTCAAAGTAGATTTCGCTTTTTTTTTTACTCTGAGTTTTTGGATGCATTAAGTTTCAATTTGAACAGTAAAGTAGAGAAGTTAGCCTAGCTTTAAATAACTGCGCATTCAACTTCTAATCTGCATATTTCGCATATCTTGATATGCTCCTTATGTTATTTAAAAAAATATATATGGTTAGTTGCGTTATCCGCTTCCATAGCCTTGTGATTCCGAGGGTACTTGGATACCTTTGGGCTTGAGACATGCCTGGTGGTGTTAACCCTTTTTTTTTCCGTGCTAGCATCTATTTTTTTGTTAGCCCTTACTTTGGAGGCGCCTTTTGCCTTTTCATCTCTTTTGCTAAGGCGTTTAGTTAATTCTTAAATGGTTTTTGTTACATTTTTTATTAGTTATGTCAGTAATTACGGCGGTCCTTCACTAATACAACTCTAGTAGTTAAGTTAAAGCTACACTTTTCTGTATAAGGATGACGAATATTCCCTCCTTTTTTTTTAATTTTTAAGGACCATTTTAATACTTACGGTACCAAATACAATTATTTACCCTTTTATTGCTCTTTAAAGTAAGTAACATTATGGAACTCAAATCTCTACCAGTTAAGTGTTTGTGTATATTAAGAAGTTAAAACCTTATCTTTTATTTATAAAAACAGAGCTTGTCAGAGCATGGTAAAATTTGGCATTTCTTACCATAATTTTATATAATATAACTTTAGAGATATAAAAACTCTACCTTTACTGTTTAACTACTAATATTAGGATGTGTGTACTTGGCAGCCATAGCTCCGGCTGCACGCTTTTCAAGTTTTATAGGCCTGTGTACCCCCACCAAAAACCATTTTATTAATCCCTTCTAAATTTCTGGGGTAAGTACTTACAATATTTTTTATAAAATTTATATTTTACTTTCTTTATATACAGGGTGAAAGGGCTGTACTGCTTACGTGGACTGCTTGTTCAGTCACAAGGCTAATAGATTCAAGAAACTATATCTTAACTTATTTTTTCTATCATTCCTTACTACTTCTTAAGCTGTGACGATAGCACTGTATACAATATATATGATGGTCCTTTAGAAGAGAAATCTTATGCTATTAAATATATATAATAATTAACTAATAATTATATGATTTAATATTAATATGCAATACTCATAAAAGTTCTTATAGGGCTACTTTAAAGCTTGGATGCTTGGAGTGGCTACATTGCCATTTTGTACTATAAAAGGTAAAGAGTTATAAAGATCTCTCTTTAAAAAAAAAGTAGGTGGCAACCTTTCTATTAAAATCCTACAGTAATTGTTCTATTAAAAGAAGGACAAATTTAATTCATGCATACGCCAATATTTTTGACTTATTACAAACATATAGGTATAATGGTGAAATACAAAACATGAAGATGCTAATAAAAAAAACAATAAAAAATGACACTACTTTTGACCAATAATAGCTAAAACCCATGGTTTATAGGCGACTGAGTGCTATAAGACAATAAGGTTGTATCACAACAATTTTTATAAAGGTTTGTCCTCAATTTTTAAAGTAATAGTTTTAACGTTCAACTCTAGGGTGAAGAAACGAGAATTTTTTAAGTTCAAATAGTAAAACTTGTTTTTTCACCCCTAGCCGTGGTATACTGTAAAAATTCCATCCTAAAATTGACATAAATAAAATAATGCATCTTTAGTTGCCGAACAGATGCCAACTTGATTGTGAAAATACTAACGAGTTTCTAGGGTCACCTTGCACATTGGCTTAGAATAGGGACTGGCGCCATATACATTCTACCCACTAGGAGAAAACACAAAGGTGTTAGTAAGTTACCCAGTAGCATATTAGAAGCGCGTCAATACTAGTTAACAATGAAGAATTAATGCACTCACGTACCGTTGCCCATGTCAGCACTTTACTATTAATATCCTTATTTAATACCTACTTAGAAATAACAAACTAAATAAAATAGTCACTATCGCTTTAGTACGAATATCAGCTAGAGTTTAATTTAGTTCCAGGCTTAAAGCGAGAGCACGTAAGGATAACCAGAGAATTAAGCTTTTAAACGCAGTAAGGCCTTTGGAAGCAGCGCCAAAAGTGTCTTCTTTTATTAAATTACGTATGCGATTACTGACTAAAGATACGTTTTATACCAACATAGCCTCCGACTCCACTAAGTCGAAAAGATTTGCAGGAACTAAAGTGAAGGAGTTAGATCAGATAGCAGTAAAAACAACTAGTAAGTAAATAAAGAATTAAGATAAGCTTACAAATTAAAATCCTTCCCACGCAGGAAAACCAGTTAAACAGTCTTATATAGTTTTATGCTATGTCATGTTCCAGTTTTTATCATTTGAAAATTAATTTATAGATTATTTTTTATAAATTTACTATTAAAGTTAGTACTTCATGTAGAGCCTTTCTAAGTATACTCATTAAAGCGACGCTGATAATTGTCTAACTTAGAGGTGCTAATATAAAAAAATTATAATATTGTTTAATTAAATTTAGCAAACGCGGGATCCATATTATGTTGTGTTCAGTAGAATTTTTTAAGTTAGAATTTTTTTAGAAAGTGTATCGCTTCTAACAAAATTATTACATATAAAATATCAATACAAAGTTTCAAATGATAATTAATTTTCGACATAGGTTGAAAAAAGCTTTACAAACATTCATAATTTACACAAAGAATTTTAAGTTGTGAGGGGAAATTTTAATTAGAGAAAAATAATAATAGTTTCTAAGAACACCACTTCGACTACCACGTATTAAAAAATAATAACTGTATTACTGCTCTATACTAGTTTCTGCAGTTAACTATGAATTAAAAACATAGTTCTCCTTATACTCCGCGTCTTTTTCATTAGACAAAAGGCGCTCTTCTAAATTTTATGCATTTTTGGCTGAACGGTCTATTCATATGTTTGCATATTAATTAACAATTTATGTAAATTTACTAAAAATAATAATTGATAAGTTATTTGCGGTAACCAATTTCATTTATTCTAATTTTAACTGGCTTTCTTTGATAAAATTTTTAGGCTTTTTAATGGGACTTTTTTCTTTTCGCTGAAAAACTGGCTTATATATAAAAGATTCAGTTAAAAATTAGTTACTTCTTTAAACTGCTTTCATTAGTGTTAACTAAAAGTTTCACTTTATGTAGTTTGTAGCCATAAGTAATAAGTAACAAAAAAAAAGTTACAATTAATATCTTTCTTAAAGAACGTACTGCATTTTAAATATGAATGGGCGGCTTGCAAGTTACAAATATATTTATGTCTGAAATTACTTCTTCAAAACATATCAGCTATATAATTAACATATTTACAAGGTCTTTTAATTCTAATCTGCGAAGTTTATTTGTACCCTATCGCAGAACCCTCAAATAAGAATGATGCATTTAACTAACAACATAAGCAACATAAAGAGTAAATCGCTGGAAATTAGTAATAAAAAAGTGAAAGCGCAAACGCTTAGATATGTAATCCTTCTTATTTGCCTAAAATTATACACATTTCGATGAGCGTACGTAGATATATAATTTTAATTCTTCATTTTACGAGTTTGCGGATAATTTGCCTTGTAATAAAGCAAAGAAAGCAACTTTATAGGTTAAGTCAGCCATTCTAAAAAGATATTTTAACATGAAAATACTTAGTAAGTTAAGTTTTCAAAATAATATAGTTTAACTCGACTTCAATTAACTTAATATAATTTGGGTTGTAATTAAGCAAATCAGCAAACTTATAGGCTGTTGGCCATACTAAAAAAACATATATTTTTCAACATGATAGTTTAAATCGACATCTTCGTTAAAATCAGTTTCCATTGTCCAGAAGACTTGCAGTTTGTAAATATAATTATTTTTACTAGGGGAAGAAAATTTTTTTTACTTTGAAACACTAGAAAAAGGTTCCTCAAAACAAAATCATGACTGACACAAATTTTAGTTGCCCCTGGCAACTATCTAGTAGCTCGCTATACTAAACTATGGTCTCTTCAGTGAAGATAAATTTAGATTGTTTACACTTAGGCCGTGAGAATCCTGTACGGATAGATCCTATAAATAAAAAGTTGTCAAAACTATAAGTTCAACGCCTATTCTAATTGCTGATACATCCCTTTAATATATTTATAAGTCTAGCAATTCGTCCTTAAGTGTATAGTGTTATAACCAAGCGAGTTATAAAGTCCTATAAAGATAAAAAGCGCAAAAATGTGTGATAGAAGTAACGAAGTAACACTGTTGCTAATTTTAGATAAGTGGAAATTCCGTTAAGGTAGGTAGCAAAGAACGAAGAACTAGGTCGTAGGAAAAAGAAAACTAAACAAGGAAACTATTGATACTAATATCGTAGAAATAGGATTAAGAAGATCGAGGAACAAAATAACTAAGAAAAACAGAACTGTAAACACGTAATGATAGCGCTTTATTATAAAAAATATAGCAAAACCTGTTTCATTTGAGAAGACGTAATTTTGACTGGTGCAAATGCGCCCCCAGTACTTAAGTATTGACTAACCGCCAGTCTGCTTTGAAAACAGATTCGCTTTTTACCTAATACAGTTAGCTTGCTCGTAACCTAAGGCAAAATAATATATTGAAATAACTGTGACATCACAGCCTTTCCACCGTTTTAATATAAAGTCGGCTTTAAACTGTCGTGGCAGTCAACAGTATTCTACGTAACGAAGAAGGTTTATAGCACCTAGAGGTTGTATCCAAATTTTAAACAAATTGTTTTTAAACATTTTAAATTGTAATATCAATTCATATTTATTAAAAGATAAAGTTTACTTTAAAACGATTCTCATAAAGAATTATATGCAGCTATAAAACCTATTTTTTTTTTTATAACTAACGGCAAAAAAAATATTGTATTAATAAATATTGTAATTTCTAATTATGAAAAAAATGTTGTTATAAGTTATGCTTAAGGCTTCAAAAATTTACATATTTAAGCTATACTATATTAACTATAATTTGTTAAAGTAGCTTTTTTTTAGTCAATAATAAATCAATAAAGTATCGTGGACTATATATATATATATTTATTTAAGTGAGTGTATGACGTGGGGGTTCAATGCTTAGAGCACATAATCAATTGGTGTATTAGAAGGGGTGCCATGCATACAATTTTTCTTGTTTTTTTATTTGGATAGTGCGGAGTTGTAAATTATCATGATAAGTTATTACATTTTTTATATTTACGACAAAACTATATTATCCAATGTTTTAATCTATAATATATAGTTAAAGGGGACTTTAAGTTCGTAAGTCGATACTTGAGGTAAAATCGACATTAGATAACTGGATAATGAAGAACAAAGAATACTGTGAAGAAAATTTAAAGAAGTGTTATTTTATTATGTTGACGGGCCTTTCGTAAATTATAAAAGATTTAGAATAAATTTGGAGGATAAAATTAATAGATGTTCAAAGCTTTGCTTCAAACCAGGCTTAGTAGCTTTTTTTTTAGTTAATTTAACTAATAGTCGTTTGAAAGAAGGCTTTCTTGTACCTGGGCTAGTATATGGGAAAGTAAGTGAAATTGGCTTAGACTTATTGGCTGATAGAAGTTACAGATCTTATAGAATTATAAATAACCTTCTAGTTACCAATAATGAAGCTATTGTGAATTATTTATTTAGAAGAGGAAGGTTCTGTACCTTGTGTCGATGGAGTTAGAAGTAGCCATCAAAGAAGTTAAAGCGAAAGTATGTTTGAAAGTAGTGAGGTTGCTCCTATAAATAAGTGCTTATAAAAATTTTAATTTGCTGAAGGTAGATGACGTTATTCTCTGTAAACCTGCTAACCCGTTAAAAGCGGGTTATTAAAAGAAATCACAAGAACTGCACAGATACCGAGGAGTGTGCCACCGAAGCATCGCTTTGAGGAGAAAAGAGACAATTTTTATTTCAAGGAATTGATGATATCGAGGGAGAAATGGATAAGAACTCTGTGTGATGTTGCATGCAAAAATATAATAAACCT